GTTGAGACCATTCGCACCATTATCCCTTTCTCTTCTGGCCTAAAGGAAATATCACCTTTAACTCACAGCACTGCCATTTCTGGTTGTCAGATGCATTCATGTGTGGGAATTTACTGCATCTGGAACTTCCAGAGTAAGTTTCCACAGTTCTCTCTTTAATACTTGTAATTTAAAACACAGTATGAGCAGTGATTATTTCCTTCTTTAGGTCTAAGATCACCGTGCTTTCTATACTTCATAATAGCAAGTGATTTATTTGTTTTAGAGTCTGTGTTCTTGGATTCCCTCCCAGGCTATGTTTGAATGCATTAGAGGATTTTGCCAATCTCTGTTTTCTTTGCTACAATATTAGAGAAATAGAACTGAAATACCCACGGTTTTCAGATACTTCTTAAACAATTGACTTCACTTCCATAGGAAAAAAAAGTAAACTCTTCACTTCAGTCTCACATACAATTGTGGAGTCTCTACACTCTCTTAAATCTTGGACTAAATTAAAGCAATCATGGGTCAAAGTTGGCTTTGTTAAATTTACAGACAAATTACACACATTCTGAAAGACGAATAGAAAGAACAAACTCTTCTCACCCACATATTACGGCTGAGAAGAAGGGCCCTAAATTTAAAAATGTCATTTGTTCTATCGATAGGTATTTTCAAAGCTTTGACCAAATTTTTGGAATTCAAAGGAGCCCTGAAATGGAGTTTTGAGGAAGAGCTAAGGAAAATTGCATTACTCTGAGTAAGAAAGTGGGAGACTTTCTGTTTTTGCTTATTCTTTAGAGGCAGCTATAGACAATATATAAATAAATGAAAGTCATGATGTTCCAATAAATTTTACAAAAAGTAAATGATGGCATGTACCTGAGAAATATGTAGAACTATTATGTATCTATAATAATTAAAACTAAAAGGGTATAAAGAAGTGAAGGGCCCTTGACTAAGACCCAAAGTGTAAAAAAACCTGGGTCAGTATATGGCTGATATGGTTTGGCTCTCATCTTGAATTATAATCCTTATAATCCCCATGTATCAAGGGTTGAAGGTAATTGAACTATGGGAGTAGCTTCCTCCATGTTGTTCTCATAATACTGAGTAAGTCTCATGAGACCTGATGGTTTTATATGTCTAGCATTTCTCCTGTTTGCACTCATTGCATCCTGAAGCCCTGTGAAGAAGGTGCCTGCTTCTCCTCTGCCTTCTGCCATGATTGTAAGTTTCCTGAGGCCTCCCCAGCAATGCAGAATTGTGAGTCAATTAAACCTCGTTCCTTTGTAAATTACCCAGTCTAGGGCAGTTCTTTATAGCAGCATGAGAACTAATACAATGGCATATATACCTCTCTGGAGACAATTATTCCAAAGGGATTATACATGCTGAAATTAAGAATGGTTTATTAACAGGAATTTGGGGTGGTTTAATAGGAACCCTAAGACGAGAATGACATCAGTGAAGATAGCATCCATCATTCCCTTTGTGCTATGGCAAGAGTTTGGCAATAAACAGGACAGGACTTAGGGTTGACCCGAGGAGCATTGCTCCTGATAAGCTATGGTTTTATTCCCTTTTGAGAAGTAGCATGGGAGTGGTGGAAATCACATGGGCTTTGTTAACCAGTAAGACCTGGGTACAAATCCTACTTCCACCTCTCATTAGCTGTAGGTCCTTGGACTACTTACTTCATCTATGAGTCTTAGTGTCCATTTTTGTCAAACTTTATAAAGCTCAGGAAAAATACAAAAGGACAGAATATCATGAGGGAAGCACAGCCCATTAATACACATTCCTTTCCTCTTTCTTATGCTGTGGCTATTGATTTTCCTTGAATGACTATTTAAAACAAGAGGCTGAAACACTCCACAACTGTGTGAGAGCACAGCTGCTCATCTAGCATTTCAGGTTTTTATTAAGCAAACTGATAAGACTTATATTCTGTAATTGGTACATGTTCTTTTTTTGCCTAATGACACTAATCTGTTTTTATCTTAGTCATTTAACTGAGTTTCGTGATTAGCACAGGCAAGGTTTTAGGAATTTAAATCATTTGTTTGATGTTTTTGCTTTTAGGCATGTTTGATTATTTATTAAAATCGATAAAATCAGCTGTGTCAACTAGTTATTAAAACTATAATTCTTTTATTGGCTAATACCAGGAGGGCTGAAGCAAAAGAAAAATGAAAACATTACATGAATTCTTGATTATGAAGCAAGTTTCTATAGGGGTGGCCTACATACTTTGCATTAACTGAAGCCTGTTTAGAACAAGTCTGTTCTATCTTTAGTCAATAAGGAAAGGACCAAGTGGGTAAGCATATGTGCAACTCATGTTCTAATTTATGCTTTAAAATAAAAACAAGTTTGAAAGAAGCAATGTGTTCTGGTCTTCAGAAAAGAAATACCAAGTATGTGCTAAGGGAGAGTGGTGAATAGTATCCAAAGATGACTTCCCTACATTCCTTCCCACCCTGAACCTGCATGTCATTGCAACCATCGAGAGGTAAACGCTCTTCCTCGTTTTCTGAATCTGGTCCTGCCTATGACCTAATTTGGCCAGTGGAATATGGTGGGGGTGACACTGCCAGTTCTGGTCAAGGTCTTCAAGAGGCCTTTAAGAGCCTCCACTTTGAATGTAGAAAGCCAGATGCCACGCTCTAAAAAAGCTTAGGCCAGAATACTAAATGATGAAACACCACATGGAGAAAGAAGGACACATGGAGAAGTTCAGAGATGCAATGTGGGACATGTAAGCAGCATCTTCTTGTAGCTCCCAGCCCAGCCCACACCATATGGGACAGAAGAACTGCCCAGATAAGCTCTACCAGCATTCCTAATGTAAGTACTGTGAATAATAATAAATTATTATCTTTTTGAGCCACTAAGTTTTGTGGTGCTCTCTTATTCAACAATAGATAACTTAAAGAAGGGTAGGAGGGATAAGAGAATGAACACAGGCTTTCAGGTAACTTGTTAAAATAAAATAATTAACTGAAGGAGTGAGTTTCTATTGGTCCAGGATTATCTCTTTCCTTCAACGAAATTTCAACAGAAAGAGTTCCTCTTACTAAAACACTGCAGGAAAGAGAGAATTCACACAGATAAGAAGACATTGGCCTACAATTCAGAGTTCTGGCTCCAGTCTGAGCACTGCCACTCAGTGAAAAAATGCTGGGTAAAGCAGTTCACCCTCTTGGTTTCCATTTTGCCATCAGTAAATGAAAAAAAAAGTGGCTAAGAGAGTCATTTGGCCTAGGATTTGCAAGTTTAGGTGTAGATGCTTAAACATGAACTCTATGTATTATTTTATATGAAATCAGAAGAAGACATTCAAGGTTGGAAAATAGATAATGTTCTCCACAAAACTTAAAATTTGTGTCTCATTATCTGGACTCACTGCCTGTAATGTAGTGTTAGTATTTATTTTTAAAAACTATAACCTGTGACCAATTCAATTATGTTGCATTGTATTTTGCATGCTGATGAAATTTTAATTTGAAATGTTCAGACATTCATAATGTTAAAAAAAAGTTATAAATGTTATAAGCTGGTTTAGGCACTTCTTTGTTTCTAATGTATTGAAAATGTTAAGATATAGGACTAATCTATACCTCTTTTAAGCTGTAAGAAATCTTGGGTGTTTAGCTATGTTTTCTCTAGGGTCACTTTTAGCTGTACAAGTTGACTGTCACCCAGGTTTTCTTGCATTTTTGCACCTACGGAATAATAAATTATGTATTGAATATAATTTGTAATTTTTCTGATGTCTTTTTATGGTACCAATACTTCTTTTTGAGAGACCAAGACATCCTTGTGAACTAATCAGCTTTATCAGGTATAAAAGTTTGCCCCAGGAAATCAAAATAACTGTATAGAATGTTTTGTAAGTCTTGGTGGTGTTAACAATATGCTTGCCCACATAAAGAGCTAACTTACTAACCATAGGAATCTCTTAGACAGGTGTCTTGTGTCTGTGTGTGTGCATGAACACATGTGCACAATAAACAGATAAATTGCCAAAAACTTAATAGTATTTTAACCCCAGTTATATGAACAATTTAGCCTCTCCTCCTCTCCTGCAAAAAGACAAAAGAAAAAAAGATGCTTTTAACATTGTAAAAACTTAAACACCCAAGAAAAGAAAGAAAAATGATAGTAAATACATAAAATATATGCAAATTAAAGCAGTAAAATACCATTATCACCTGTCAAACTGGCAAATTAAAAAAATTAATTCCCAATGAAGCCAAAATAAAGACATTTTCATTCTAATAGACTAAAAAAATTTGTCACCAGATACTTACTAAAGAATGTATTAAAAAGTATTCTTTAAGCAGAAGGAAGATTATCCCAGATGAAAGAACAGACACACAAAAAGAGTAAAGAGAAAAAAAAAATGGTTAATATGTGATGTGTCAAAATGAATACTGAATTACAAAACAATAATGCTAATGTCCTACTGGCCTTTGTAATATATAAAATTAAAATATACAATCTTATATTAATCAGTAGGGAATAAATAGCATTAAAGTGGCTATCACTAAAGTTCATAATAAAGTTAAAAGTCCTAATATTAGACTTTAATGTGTCAAAGATAGATTTAATAACTATATAAATACCAAAATAATATAAGTAAAACCTTCAAACTTCTAGAGAAGAGGATAAAATAATAAAAATTCTTTATATAATTTATCCAAAAACATAAAAGAGAAAAGAAAAAGAATATGCTAGATAGATAGGATAGATAGGAGACACTCTGTAATATATCAATAATTACATTAACTATAAATGTACGAAATGCTCCATTTAAATGACAAAGACTACCCAACTGGATTTAAAAATAAACCACTTTACACTGTTTAAAAAGTATAAGTATAATGGTTGACAGCAAAATGTTTTTATAAAGAGGAAAAATATATGCCATATAAACTAACAAAATGGAAACTGTAAAATAAAACAATATATATTTTCAGTCAGAACTACAACTGGATTAAAGAGGGGCAAATAAATAACAAATATTTACTCAGCAGGAAAACGTAGCAATTCTAAATTTGTATGCACCTAACAATATAACCTCAAAATATATGAATAAAAAATTAACAGAATTATAACAAGAAGTAGGCAAATCCCCAATCAAAGTAGGATATTTTAATATCTATTTCTCTGCTACTATCAGGCCAACTGAACAAAATCAGTATTATGTAAAAGATTTGAAGAATACAACAGCAAACCCAATTCAAAGCAAGTACATAGAATACTGTCCTAAACTAGAGAAGGCACATTCTTCATAGACACATGTAAAATGTAACCACAATTGATAATAGTCCATGAAGTAACTCCTAATAAATTTCAAGAGGTTGGAACCATATAGAGTGTGTTCTCTGGCCTCCAGCAACTAAATTAGTAATCAAAATCAAAAAGTTAAGGAGAAAATCAATACACTAACTGGAGTTGAAGAAATATGTTTTATTGGCCTCTACTTCCAGCTATGACAGAGTTGACAGTTGCTAATGATTCTCTCCAAAAACAACTATAAAACTAGATAAAGAATGATAAAGAATAATGATGATGAATAAATGTAAGTCTATCACTGTTAGTGAGAGAATCATAAGTGACTTGGTGTTTGACTTTTCTTTGTGTTTTTCTATATTCTCTGAGTTTTCTAAATTTAGTATTAGTTACTTTTCATAAATTCAACAAGAATTACCTTTCACTCAGTAATGATGAGAAGTTATTACAAATAAGCTGTCATTAATTTTTTAATTAGCTATGTCTTCAACCAGTAGTTATTATTCTCATATGGGGGACTTCAACACTGTTTGATGTTATTAAAAATCTACTAATTCTTTGACTCAGCAGTTCCATTTCTGCAAATGTGTTTCCCCAAAACACATTCACCCATCTGTCCAAAGGTGGATATGCAAGAATACATATTGTATATAGACATATATTCTGAACTTTTGTTTACAGAACACTAGCCTTAAATGTCCACTTTCAAGGGATTGGTTAAATATACTGTGATACATCTATATAAAGAAGACTCATGCAGGCATTGAGTAAAGTAGGTCTCTATACTCTGATATACTACATGTCTTTGGTTATATATCTTTATTTATAAGCAACAGAAATTAATTCTGGGTTATGCAAGCAAAACAAAATGAATTGGAGCAATATGAGTTGATCCACAGAATGGACAGGAGCCTGGGTAGCAGAACAGGAAGTGGCTACCCTAGACCACCAGGCATCAAATATTGCTCCAATATTTTGTCTGGATTCTGGAAATGCCTTTCAAATATTGTTCTGATCCTGAATCACTCTGGATCCAGTTGAGATTCACTCTAAGGAGAAATAAGCTAGCTTGCATACCTAACCCTTGGTTACCTGAGGGCAGGGGACCTGATTTACAATCCCACAAGGGGTATGCAAAATTATTAAGTCATGATTCCCAAAAATAAAATCAAAGTGCTATTTGGAAGGGGCTAAAGAATGCTACACAATAGAAAATGCATCTTCTAAATACTTTTAAAAGAATAATGCAAAAACAAAAAGCATATGCATAGTAAATCACCATTTGTGTTTTTTTTAAATGGGAGAGAATACATATTAAATATATACATGTAGAACATAGTCTTTAAAAAAAAAACACTAGAAACAACTTAACATCTGTATCTCCCATTAGGCCCTCAGTTCCATGAGGACAAGAAATGTGTCTGTCCCATTCGTTTCTGTATTTCCAATGACTACCACTATGTCTTACACACAGGAGGCACGTAATAAATAGTGGCAGAGTGAATAAAAGGATGTATTTCTACTAAGAAGAAGAGATACTAGAAACAGGCTTACTTTTCATCTTTTAATTTTTTTCAAGTGCCTGAAGTTTTTATGCAATTAAAAAAGGATAAAGATAATTTGTAATAAAAACAAAATTTTATGGGGATCAAAAATTATTTAAGAAGTTTGAGAATCATCATCGATGACCTATCACATCACCCCTCTTCCCTAAACTGCCTCATTGTCTATGTGCCCACACAGAGAGCCAAGCAGAAAAGTGCTCAATGTCCAATGAAACAAACTGGCTCCAACAGATGAAGCTCCCAATTCCTGTAGTGCACACATGGCAACACAGCTTCTCCAGGGCCTTGGGAAATAATGACTTGTGGAGGAAGGTCACAAGTTAAGAATTATCTGATCATCGTGCTGGGGCTCCAGCTCTTTAGGGGTTTGTGCTGATAGCAAAAACATTGTTAAGTCTCTAAATAATTTGAATGATATTAGTACAAGACACCAGAAAGAGGAAAACAAGAATGGCTTGATGACAGCAAGCTGACAATGGGAAGCATTTTGTGGGCTGAGATGATTGTAAAAGCAAACAGTGGTGATATTGTCCTTCTGGTGTTATTGTGTAATGCTGTAATTTATGGATGAAGTGGAATTTCAAACAAAATAAACAGACTTGAATTTGTTAACTAATACAGTAAGCATAGAACATTCTGTTATGTGAAAAGAGAAATGGAATGTTTTATACACTCCTGCTATTTGCTAAACAGAAATATGTTTATATTTGGCATAGCATCTTGCTTTTGGTTTTGCTAGCTTTTTGAGAATATCCATTTTCATTTAATCTTGAACATAGATACAAAATGTAGGTGAAAGAAGAATATTGTCAATATATATCATTGTACCATTATATTATAGTTCTAGTATATTTCACCAGCCAGAGAAAACTCTTCCGTAAAGAGTGTCAACTAATTTACACTTCTCTTTGAAAATCTGATGTCTCTCTAATCACAAATATCATGGGGATGTTTATGGCAACTACAACAACAATAATAACTTTATTTCTACCCCAAGTGAAATGAGAAAAGTTCCCTTGCCCCCTTGCAGGGCATGTGGTAGGACTTTGGCTCATGTCTTCAGTACCTCGCTGCTTGAACCTCCAGGGGATCATACAGACAGGCAGGCTGTGGGGCTCCAACCCCACCCCACCGCAGTGTCTAAGGGTGAATATTTGCAGTTCTTGAAGCTCCAGTGGGCGTGCGTTACAGGATGCCCTCTTAGTTTTCCGACTATAGGCAGCTTGTGTTAGCTCAATTAGACCTTCTACCTTATTCCAAGGACAGAGGGCTTTCTGTATCCCATGATTGCTTGCTTCTGTGTACCAGAAGAATCGGTCACACGTGGCTTGGAGAATGAGTACAAAGTTGTATTGAGTGGAATTAGCTCTCCAACGATGGGGAAGCCAGAAGAGAGACAGTTTTCCCATGGAGTAGGGCCACTCAGGTGCCCCAGCTCTCCTCCCATTGCCCGAGGACAAACTCCACCTTGTCCCACTGGTCAATGGCCTGTCGGTGCCTGTCCATGAGCAGGCTCTCTCCCAGCGGGCTCTCATGATCAGCCGCATGTGTCTTTTTTCCCCCGGGATGTGTCCTCATGCCATCTAGTGGCTTCACTGTGTCTGTCCTGTAGGGTCTCTGGGTTTGTATAGGCTCAGGATGGGGGCATGGCTGGCTAGGTGGGCTTGGAAGATATAACCGTTGGGCCGGAAAGCAAGAATGCTTGGACTCACCTAGATCCATGGCGGTGGAGCCCAAGCCAGGGAACCCACCTTTCTCTACCCCTTACTTCCCTTACCCTACTTCCTTAACACCTGAAGCGACCATGCTCTTTCCTTCCCAGTACTCCCATATCACAAGTAGGCTGTGATATCATGTTGAAATATTTGGTTGCGGTTCCACTTATAAAAGAAAAGCTGCTTCCCTGTAAACTATAAAAAGCAGGTTTTTATCTCAGTAAGCATTGTTAACAATAAATGACTTCAATTTACGGAGTTCTTGAATTCACCAGGAAGTCAGTTACCAATGACAAATCATGTATCTTATGTCTCAGTGCTGAGAGTAGCGCCTGGCACTTAGTAGGTACTCAGTAGGTATTTGTTGAATAAGTAAATACTTCTTCTACCGGCAGGTGTTGCTTTAAGTCATGGTTACATCTGTCAAAGACAAAACTAAGTTTGAGACAAAATGAACAAGGGCTGTTTATTCATAAACTGATAGCAAGGGAACCCATCTGCTGTCACTTTCGTTTCTGCAGGGTTCCTGGGTGTTAGAAAGGAAAGTGATTTTTACAGCCTAAAAAAGGATAGGCTGCAACAGCCTCTGACTGCCGAGGATTCTATAAGGTGAGATTTCTGGAAGCCGGGATGACTAATTGATCTTCAGGTACATTTGACTGCCCTTGGTTTGCTGCGAGGGAACAAACAAGCAGTTTGGGGACATTCTGGAAATGAATGCTAAGAACAGAAGTTTTTGCATGGCCAGCCATTTCCTGGAACATGTAGCGCTCACGGGGTGCCTTTTTTTCACAGTCAAACTGTCATGATGGTCCTTTGTGAGAAGCTGACTGATTGGGCCAGTTTCTAACATCTGGGTTCTCTCCCCAACTTTATTCTCTCTCTCTCTCTCTCCAGAAACAAAAACAAACTGTCACCTAGTTGGCAAAAACCTCCTAGAAAAATTAAAATAAATAAATACAATTTTAAATTGAAAAAAAAATGCTGCCCCTCAAAAATCTTAAGTGCAGTAAAAAATAGGAGTGAGATAATTTCATATGTTCATGAGAATTCATCTGATGCAAGTAAACCTGCATTTTTATATTAAATCTTTAATCATAGCTGTGGTCTTAAGACAAAGATAAGTTCAATATTTTACTCAAGTTTGAGTGATATCAGTGAAGCATTGTCCTGAAGATTCAGGAACACGCTTTTTATAGATGTTATTCTCTTTACTGTGCAAAATAGCTACCTTAAAAAAAAAAGCTTCCAAGGATTCACAACCTTTCTAGTGGCTTTGTCTTTATTTATTAACTTATAAAACGACCATCTGGGGGGAAGAGTATTAGTGACCATGGGAAATTTTAAGTAGAAATTAAATAGACCTTTGGCTTTATGCCCAGAAAAAAATGTCAGTCCTTTGCAGAAAACCAGGCAAAAGATTAAAAAGATTCCATTATATCTATAATACAATCTTCTTATGGCTTTAGTACAAGTTTCTTTTCTGCTAACAGAAGTCCCTGCAGAAGGTTTAAACAATCTCAACAATTTCATTATGTGAGCGTAGCTAAATCCAATAATGTAAAAGGGCCTAGAGAGCCTCCCATATGCTCGGTTCCATACCCTTTCCTTCTAGGGGAAGTCGAGAACTTGGCTCTCAGGAAACTGATTCTACTCCAATTGCCCGGAGCACAAATCTTGCATTGTTGACATCAACGCAAGCTCTCCTGAGGACACACAAAGAAGAGAAGGAGCCATTAGAATTTCTCATGACCCTGCTTTGAGCCAAATCCAGCTTCACTTAAATGAATGAAAATGCTTGTTATATGGCCCAAGAAGCTACTTTGTCCATTTGAAAATTAATTAGACCGTAGCTAGATGAACAACCCTAGGATGCTTTCGCAATGTTCTTCGATGCATGACCCTGGCTGAGTTCCCAATTTTAACAAGTTTACCCTAAAGCAAAAACATGGCCTTTTGGCTAAGCTAGTGGTACAATTATAATGCTTTCCTGAGTGGTGGCAGCTAAAGCATAACCTCGCCAGAAAAGAGTTAGTTAGGAAAAGAGTAGTTAAAACTTTTGCATGCAACGCTAACAGAAGATATTTTAAAGGCATTTTTTTTTTGTTTGTTTCCAGGAGCCAATTTAGTTATTCATTTCACAGCTGGGCTTGAAGAAAATGTTAAAATCTTATACATGTCATGATTCACTCTAGATTAAAACTCCTTGAGGGCACAGATTATGTTTCTCCTTGTAGTATTTTTAGTATAATGGGACAACAAGGTTGGTAGGTTGACTAAAAGCATAAAACAGATTCAGATGTAAATCCTTTTTTCAAGGTGTCAGCCTGAGCTTGTTCATGGCTGGCCATTGATAAGAGAGAATCTTTAGGTGTATAAGATTCTGAGCCACTCCACTCACAAAGAGACTAATAACTACTTTAAAAAATATTCCATACATTGCCCCATTTAAGAAGGTCCTTAATACATATTAGGGATAATAGTATAGCAGATGCTCAACTCTCTGTAATCTGGAATTGAGAGCAGAGAAAATCAGAGTTGGATACACTGCATGAAAAATAAAATTCCACCTAAAATACCAAAAATAGAGAAACTATGGAAAAGGTGCCCAACTCACAACTTCTTTATTAATTAAAAAAACAAAAAGTCTTGCAAGGTGACCCTATACCCATCATAGCTGAGGGGACAAGAACAGACATCTCATTCTTGTAGAGCTGATTCATTGGTAAATGACAACCAACTGCATTCTTTCTCTGTCCCATTGGGATCTCTCTCAATCTTTCTGAACATGCTGTCTCTTCCTGGGGCAGCCAATTGAGGATCTTGGCATATAAATAAACACACATGCCAATTGACTTGTGTAGAGAAGCAGAATAATATACATCGTTCAGGTGTTGAGTCAAGGACAGACAAGCGGCCATGTCAGCTTTAGATTTTTAATCCAAAGGAAGATTATAAAACTCAGAAAGAACAATGGAGCAGGCCACCTTGTACTCTTAAGAATTCTTTCCTCTTGCCCACCTGCCTCTGTACAATTTCTCTTTTTTTGGTATTTTGGGTGGAATTTTATTTTCAATGCAGTATATCCAACTCTGATTTTTTTCTGCCCTCATGATCATATTACAGATATTTAAGCATCAGTTATATTGCCATCACTAATATTTCCCTAAAGCAAAAACATGGCCTTTTGGTAAGCTAGTGTTACAATTACAGATATTTAAGCATCAGTTATATTACCCTAAATGTAGGACCTTCCTAAATGTAGCAACCTACAAGTTGCTTTTTAAAGTAGTTATCAGTCTCTTTGTGAGTGAAGTAGCTCAGAATATCTCTGTTCAAATGCATAGACCATCTGCAGATAAATGGTACTTTTAAATTTTTCCTAATGTAGCTAATCATTTTCAGACAGTTTTGACTGCCCTCCCTAATTCCAGATTATTTCTCTTTCCTTGTATGACCTTTACTGGGACCGATCACCATTCTTCTTTATGTTCCTACAAAGAAAGTTTTCTGGGTCTGGGTTCTCAAAAATCTCACATAGTTAGAAATCTTTGGGTGGTGTAGTACCATGATGTCAGAGAATGAACGACTCTGAAAAAAAAAGAGATATTAAATACCTCCTCTCATGCTGTATATTGATGAGGGCTTGTGTTGATCTACATAAATCTGGGTCTAAACAGAATCCTTTGAATCAAATTTTTAAAAATCACATCATTTCCTTCTGTGGAGGCACATGACTTCTCAGGATGGAATAATTCCCCAAGGGACATGACAACATTGGCCACTTTTAGGTTATCTGGAACCCACTGGCGGTCACCTCTGCTAGCAAGAAGAAAGGGTTCTAGGCCTATAACTTGGTTTCCTTAAGGCATGCTTAAACGCTTCGCTTCTCCAGATTTGCTGAGATGCCCCTTTATCATATCTATGAACTCCCCTTTTCGTGGGCTCACTCATGTTGAATTCTGTTCCCAGGATTTTGAAGTGCTTTCACCATCTGCCCAAACAACTAAAACTTTCACAGAACATTTAACAAGTATCCAAAACTGTAGATGGTTTCAGTTCCTATCTTCTGTATTTCCTCTTCCCCTTAGAAGAGAACTGACAGGGATTATCTTCAAAAAGTGGGTTGACTAACACAAATCTGAGGATAGACTAAGGAGGCACTACAGAGGCTCCCAGGCTGGCTAACAGATCTTATATGAACCATGATAGATTAAACAGAAAGCTTTATATGGCAAATAGGCAAACACCACTCATCACACTCAAATTAAAGTGGTAAATATAAAAATACAAATATAACAATAATAGAAACTTTTATTTTCTGTGATGGTTTACGGTTTTCAAAGCACATTTCATGGTTCAGTCTCACAACAGACTGGGTGGGAGGGAGGCAATTTATGTCCAGATTGCAGGTGGAGAAACTGATCTTCCAAGAGGTGAAGAGATCTTGCTAGAAGAGCAAAGCCCATTGTGGGTAGAGGCACATGTGGTACAGTCAGAGACTTGGGTTGAAATTTCAGTTCCCATTTGTTATTAGATGAATGGATTGGGACAAGTTATTTAATCTGTCTATGCCTCAACTTATTTATCTGGAAAATTGAATAAAATGGTGAGCACTGCTATGAGAGCTATAAATGTACAATTCTCCCAACAATCCTATATAAAGTAGGATTCCTATTTTGCAGATAAAGAAACTGAGGCAAGTAAATATAAGTAAAGAAACTTGCTTAGGATTACATGGAGTAAGTGACAGGTAGGATACAAGCCCAGAAAATGTGCTACCATTGTATAGCCTTTGTACCTCTTTCATTGGTTGGTGAGAGGAGTAAATCTTTCCATGAGATGATGCTAAGTCTAGCATAGTGAGAGTTCAATATGCACTAATAACCCATTCCTATTTGTAAAGAGCCCCTCTTACTTACCGGCTGTCCTTTACTATAGAATGGAAGCTCCACAAGGGCAAAGTTACTGGATTTCTTTGCCATTTTGTAACCGGGGTCTCTAGGTTTTGGGGTATAAACTGGAAAAAAGTACTTACCTGTAACTGTTGCACCTTAAGTTCTTGTTTCATGAATGTTCCCGGAAGAAGCTCAGCCCTGGAATTAGCAAAAAATGGGTTAGATCCAGAGATGTTTGAGTTGGACGTGAACTTTGGTGAACTCCCCTCATTGTCATACTAAAAACCCTGCCCAGGAAGGAGCTTATTGGCCATTTTCTGTACATGTGAAGTGTGTGGAAGCACGATGGTGACTGCACTCACACTGCGGTGACCCCAAGTCTACATACGATGACTCAGCTAACTAGCCCAAGAAAAGTCCTGTTTTTGCCTTTGGAGAGCCACTGCTTTGGGAACTATCCCCGGTGCCCTCCTTACCCGTTTCAAGTAATAGTAATAATATCTCTTTAATAAATCCTTCCTGTTTGTGGTCATTAGATTATTGCCCGCCAAGTGATGGAATCCACCCATTGTGTGGTAACAATATGAGCCCTAGAACATAGAATGGTATAAAATAAGGGCTCAGAAATTAAAGGTTGAGGAAATGAATGAGTAAGTAAATGCAACTCATATTTAGATGTCTTTTTGGAAGTTAAGAAAGGTGGGGGCCAGAACAGAAGCATAAATTATTATCCCTGAGCTTATTCTTCAAAATGGGTGCACTTCAACAATTTTAAAGAAATACCGTTAATGTAAAAATTAAGGCTCTGATGAAAAGCATCTTTGGAATTAGAGTGAAATATACAATTGAGGCTTTGGAGGTCACACGTTGAGACACATAGAAAGGTGGTAGAGGGCTATTTTGTGTATGTGTGCACTTGCTCACCCACCAATGGTGCAAACGCTACTTCCTTCTTCCCCCACCCTCCTTCAGTCTTGCACTCACCCCACCACAGCCTCTCTTCCACAGAGGAGAGAATTGAGCTGCATCCCTGGACACAACGAACCGGTTTGAGGGCTGAATGGATCTTAAACCTCCTGAGTCCTATATCAGTTTTCTATCACCCCTTTTGACCTTAAATGCCCCCCAAAGAATTTCACAAATAGACTAGGATCCAAATTAAAGAACCAGATTGAACTTAGGCAGAAAAGTGAGAGTGTCCTTTAAATGCCAATAGGCATTTGCCTTTGGCATAACAAAGGAGTTAAAACATAATTAAGATCTGAAGACTGATTACAGGAATGTGTATGATTATTTTTATTATTTTTCCTCTTTCTATCTTTGTGATAGGATGTGATCAACCTCTGCCATGCTCCGTTGCTTAGTAGCAGACAGTCAGAGTTTTAATTATATACTAAAATAAGCTAAAGAACAGAAAACTGCTTTATGTCTAATACGTATATATCAAGAAAGGCATGTGACAGCATCTAAATTGCTTTAGTGCCTGATAAAGAGTGTCTCCGGTAGGGTTGTCATCAAAAGATCACGAATGGAGTAGGAAAGTATTATTAATAAAGCTGCTACTCTCTTTATATGTCCTCCATTGTTTGTGATTCCTTGTTAGAAGCTAGAAATGAATTTTTATCTACCACTAATTTCATCAGTTTTTTTTTTTTGAGTCTGGGAGAAAAAAAAAAACTTTTGTCAATTCCACTGCCAACCCTAGTTCTCCAAATAGAATTCTTTTCACTCCTCCAGATCTGCAATTCCCAAAATATTATATCTCGCAATAAAAAATTAAAGAAATAGTTCATTCATTCTTTTAACATTCAACAGAGCAATGTTCCGGCAGCAAACCCCAGAGGAGTCTCTGCCCTCATAGAGATTAGATTTTAAGGGGAGGGAAAGATAATGAACAAGTAAAACAATGAAAAGATAATCACAGACTACAACCAGGGTTATGAAGAAAATGAAATATACTTCAGAGGATTAGGTTTAGTTGCAAGTGACAGAAGATTCAAAATCATTTGGCTTTAGCCAAGCCTGTGTTGTGATTCATCCTGTATATGCTGGGTAGCTACAATTTTTTAACACTGGCATCTATTCTGATTGACCAGTGCCCTATTTTGTTTGGTTGGATCAGGTTTATATGCTGGAGCAGTTAATATATATGTTGGATATTAATTGTGGCCTAGAAAGTTTATTTCTCTCTTCCTCACATTAAAGGTCAGAGATAGGTTCTTCAAGTATGCATAAGGCAGCTTCATGAATTCGTCAAAGGTCCAGATCTGTTCATCATTTTCAACATATGCTTTCCGCCTCATGGACCAGGATGGTTGCTTGGGCTCCAGCCATTACATCTGCATAGAGCAGAAAGATGAGAAGAGGGCCATATCTCCTCCCTGTAAGGATAATTAGAGTTTTGTCCCAATAGTAAAAATGTAGATTGTGGCTGCAGGGAAAGCTGGAATAGGAAGACGTCATTCTGGGTGGCCATAGGCTTACCTAGAAATTAGGCAGCAATTCGATTGCTAAGGAAAAGGGAGAGCAGGCAGGTAGTTGACATTTCCACACAGGGTGATGTGATAGAGAGTAACTGGTACAGAGGAGGCTTCTCTAAATAGGGGAGTCAGAGGCCTTCTTAGGAGCCAACAGCTCAACTCAGAGGCCTGCAGGATGCCACTGAGCCAGCCATACAAAGTGGGAGGAAAAGACTTCAGGCAGAAAGAATGTCTCATCTCAAAATAGACTGGACTTCTGCTCATGGAATGATTTTAACCTCACTTTATAATAATACTATGCAGTTGTTATATTTCTCCAGGCTGGGATTATAATCTGGTTTCCTCCTAATTTTTAGTTCTCCAAACCCTAAAGCATGTTACATTATAGAGATTTTTGAGTTATTGAAATAAAAATCAACTGATGTCAGCCTGTAATTTGGCAGCTGGTAGGAAGATGGTTGAGAACATATTTAGTAGTAAAATATTAATATTATTTGATATGTTACTTAGGGTTGTGCCTATGAACGGGCAGTGGACGGAGGTGGCCAACCCAAATAAAATGTCTGTGTAGTATGTCTTTGAAACCACCATGAGTGGTGTAAACAACACTCAAGGTTCAGACCAAACTACTTACAATTTAGGATATTAATCACAACTCACATTACAACAATGTGATTTGGTTTGGTGTTCACTGGAATAGAGCTGATCGTATGGAACTAATGTAATGTTCTGTGTGAATGTCGCATTAGTTATGCATCTGTTATGTGATTTTCATGGATTCTAGAATGTAATTTATTGGAATAAACAGAAAAGCCTAGGGGCATTAATGCCTAAAGCTTGAAAGGGGAATTTGCCTTCACTAAACCTTCCTATACTGTAATTAAGATGACATTATATCCAGTGCTTTTTCTAAATGAATATGTTATACAGACATCAAACAAAGTAAGAAATTGGCAATACTATTTATTACTGGAGATCTCATGTGAACAAAGATCACTGCAAACTAAATGATTTTGTCTAAACATATTATGCAGTGGCAACATGCTCTGTAACAGAATATGGAGATGGTGTGCATGGACACATGTGTACATGTTTCCAAGCTTTCCCTTGCCTGCTGACCAACTCACAGAAGGAGGGAATTGCCACAGAAATCATTATGGGTTTGAATGAAGAATCTCTAAGAGCATACTTTTTCCAAACTGACCAGATTTCCCACACATTGGCATGTGTCCAGCTATGAACCTGAGACCAAGTCTGTGAGACAAAGAAGTCATGTCTGTTCTAAAGCTGTTTGAATGTGAGCTTCACTTTCAAGGGGAAAGACTATGTCATTTTCATTTCTGTAATTCCAACATCTAACACAATGTTTGGCATATAGTAGGTTGTCAGTAAAGTTTAAAGGAATGAGTAACAACTCCCATTTGTAACAATTTCCATTCTCCTAACAGCTCTCTTAGTCCCTTTCAGTGCATTTAACAAAGATCCAATATATAATATAACTTCAAGACAACAGAAGTTAGAATTGATAATGAAACCAATGCCATATACTATGTACTCCATTGTACACACACCCACCTCTCTCTGGAAACCTCTATCAGTAGGAGACATTAAATATATGTGACCCTGAATCACACAGTACACATTTAGGTGTTCTTTTCCTTGCTTTATTTTTCTAAAATTAGACAATTTTTAATTTGAGCCTACCACCTTTTATTAAGGAGATGGAAAGTTAATCTTTGTAATTTGGGCTTCTCTTTCCTTTTCCATTAATTTTTATGTTTCAGGGGAGCTTGTTGAAAAGAACATTGAGGGAAGCAAGGCATTTGGTCCACAATGTCATTCTCTTTGATCCTTTGTGAAAAGCCCATAGGAGTCTTTCTCAACCCCCTCTGCAAGGTCCTTCCATGATTAGCTGTTTCCTCCTTTAATTCCAGGTCTTTCTAAGTTAGTGGTTAGGCTGCTAAGGCACCATCCTACCTAAATACAGTCATTTTTTTCTTCAAGGTATTGCTTCCTCTCCAGGGACTTACCTGGGAACAGCCACAGGTCCTTTCTGGTCTTAGGTCCCATAAAACTATTTGGAATTTTTACCATCTCCCTAAGCTTTAACCTAAGTTATAGTACACAGAGCTCATCTCTCTGCTCCCCACCAATATTTCTGTTCTCATTACTTTCTTTTGGACCTTTTCTTTTCCCCTGAGAACTTGTTCTGAAGTTTCTTGAGGAAATCTATGTAACCAAATATTTGTGCTTGGGGTTTTTTCTATTTTTCTAGGAGGAGCTGCCTCTGTTTCCTCTGTTTCTAAGTCCATAAACACAGAATAATGTGAGCTTCAAAAAGTTATGGATAGACCAAGGAGGAAGTTATAATACGGAGGGAAATTCTGGTTAGTATTATAAAAATATTATTCTACCTGATGGCTCTTCTGTAGGGCAGGTAGAGATGGTGCAAAGAAAGAAGATTCGAGGTGGGGCTTGTGGAGTGGGCAGTGAGAGGGACTGCCATCTGGGCTGTGTGAAGAGCAGCAAAGGTTACCAGAGGGATGATTAGAGTTCAGATTTTTAGGGTTGAGAGTTTATCAACGTTAGACAGAGCTTGAGGAAGATCAGGAACTGGTAATCAGGAAAACTTGGAGAAAAATTGGTATAGATAAAATGGAGATAGCTATATAGGAGAAAGTTTTTAAAAAGAAGGAAAAATCCCTGAAATCTCTGACA